ATTAGATAGGGGATACCTGCCTCATGAAATTTTCATTTGAAGATTGTGAGACAAAGAAAGTGAAAATAAAGGATATATTGTATTTGGGATTTGGTGTGGGGAGTGTTGCCATTTTGAATGGAGAACAGTGTGGTTGAAGGCAGTGATGGTACAAGTTGCCTTTGGAGATTTAGTCAGGGGTCAGGTTCTGTTGGATGTTAACTGGCCATGGTGAAAAAGCATGTACTTAGTAAGAAAGCCATGACATTCCTCAAGTAGGTTATGCTTAAAACTAGAAACAAAAGCAACTTGATGCAGTGGCACATGCCTGCATTCCCAGCTACATGGGAGAATGAAGTAGGTGGGAGGTTTGCAAAGTTGAAGCAAAACCCAGGCAATTTAGTGAGACTCTTAAAATAAATAAATAGAGAGGACTGGAGATGTAGCTCAGTGGTAGAGCACCCTAGTACTACAAAACAGGCATGAATAATAATAATCACATCATCTAAGGTAAAATAAACTGAATTTGATCACTCATAAATCTGATACATGTGTCCATATATGTGACTAATTCAAAGTGTTTTGTGTTTGTGCTGTGTGTATGCAGTCTGAGTGTTCCTGTTTTTAGTTACTCCATTGTCTGTTTCGTAGTTGCGGTGGCACATTTTGTAAAACCACATGTAAGGTGGAATAAATCAGTCTTTACAAAGATGTATGTAAAAGCAGAACTGTCAGTTTCTTCTGCATGAGGCATGTGAATAATGCTTTTTGCTTTTTTTAGGCAAACATCTTTCAATTTATATATTCTTTAAGATACTCTTGTCACTGAGAAATACCTATAGCTAGTGGTCTAGAAATAGCGTAGCCATGCCAGTGTAAGCAGGTTGGGTATAGGAGCTGTTAATAATGCACTTATTTTTTAGAATTTGGCTTCAGTCACAGTACATGTTTGAAATATTTCTCTGATTGTGAACTTTTTTTTCCTTGTTCCTGTATGTTGGTGATAGAAAGGCTGTGGGTATAATTTCATGGTAGAGGGCATGCTGGGGTCCAGGGTTTGAACCCCAGTATTATCCCCCTTCACCCTGCCACAAAATAACATTGGCAGTACTATTTTTTATAGATTCATGGCAACCAGCTAGAGATCTTCTAATAATATTTCATGTTTTCTAATATTTATTTCTGTTCGCTTTTTCATTTCCAAAAAGTGGGTATTAATTATTCATGAGATTTTTCAAGTCTTAATTGTCCTGTTATTTGTTCTTGTGCTTTATAGTCAATATTACTTAGTTACATCTTATATATATATAAGGAGACAGAACTCCTACGTCTCTAAGTAGAGAAAGGACAGAAAGCTGAAATTTAATTGAATGTAAATGGATTGGCTTAATGAAAAAGGGAGTCCTTCATTCCAGAGCATTTTTCTTTCCTGTCCTTATTCTTACATGTTTATATGTAGAAGTTCTAAGCAAAGCCATATGACATTTATTCTCTTTAACCTTTTTATGAAAATAAGGACCTGTCTGAATAATATGTGTTTATTTCAACAAGTTAACAGTCTTTCTTTCTGTCCTTGATTTACAAATATATTCTCATCTATTTCTCAAGCTTGATGAAATACTTTATTTTATATATAAAAGTAATTGGGAATTAATATGAATGCTTACTATTTTTGGTTTGCATAATTCAGTTTGATCAGTTGCCTGCCCTGCATATATTTATTATGATTTGCTTTTACTGCTTCTCTTCTTTTACCTTTTTCTGACTCTAGTTAGCATCTGTGCATTCATGTCCATACAAATGGACTCTTGGCTTCTGGTTTGGAATTAGTTGGTGGGGAACATTGTCAGTAGACAAAGGAAGAAAAAAGAGAATTTAGGGTATTTACTTTCTTGACTTCTTCCCTGAGATATTTCTGTAAACTTCCTTTAATGTTCCAGCTCGATCAGGTTTATTTTATTGTTATTATTTTAATGTTATAGTGAAATCCCTCAAACCCCTAGCCCCTCATCCTCCCTTTCACTGCCAGTGAGTGGCAATGAATCCTGCTGTTACTAATCCTGGAAGACTATACTCTCATTTATGGATTTTCTTTGTAACAAAATTTTGTATGAAACTCTTCAAATTAACTCAAATTGAGTGTGCCATCTATTTCCTAAAGTAACCCTGAACACATCTACAGTACTTTAGAAACATTTAAATTCTGTCATTGACTATTGTGATTGGCTAAGATGGTTTAGCACTAGAATAAGGAAAAAATTACTCTGATGATTTCATGAATTTATTCTTTCAGCTGATGTAATTCTATTTTAAATTCACCCATAAGAATTTCACCTACAGTGTTACCAACCTGGTTATTTATTGATTTTAGCATTACAGAGAATTGAGAAGTACTAAATGCAAACGTAAGATTCTAATATGAGGCCCCTTGCAGTGAGAAGTGCAGAGTGCTGTGGTGGAAAGAGTGGTTCTGTCAGGACCACGTTGATTCTGTCTGCAGCAGGGAGACCCGGCTTCCTGTGTTCTTAGGAGACCTCCCCTTTCAGACTCTTGCTTATCCCACTGCATCATAACCCACCCCTACAGACCTCTTAAGAGATCAAGCCCCAGAACCGTATAACTCATACTATTTAAAGCTTGTTATGTATGCCTATTTCAGGTCAAAACATGTTTAAACTCACTTAACCTGCCAGCGTCCCTATGAAGTAAGCTCTGGTACTACTTGTGTTTTGCATTTCAAGATATGTCAGATAGTGAACAGAATTGGAAGTCAAACTCAGGTGGTCTGATTCCCTAGACTAGACAGCCAACAGCCCCAACCACACTGTGCTATAATTAGAACTGATTATCCTTTCCTCCTAAAGAAGTCATCAAAACTAATCCCATTAGTGTTCAGCCTGTGCAGATGATGGCGTGTGTGGGGGTCATTATTGTTCCCTAGTGTTTTTAGTCTCTGACCCCTTATATTCCTTGTGTCAACACATTTTATCACCTACTCTCTTGATGGAGTCAAGCCAGTTAGTCCTTCTCATTTTAGATTTTAACACTTTACATGATATCTTCCCCCCCACTGATCATTTCTTGACAATCCTGACTTCCATGAGGATCATTCGTATAACCTCCTGAATCTTTGACTTAAACACTAATGATTCTTCACTCCTTTTTAGACCTTTTGTAGATAACTACGTCACCTCTCAGATTTCAGCTATCCTGTTTTCTGACTTATCATTCCTCTTCCTAGCTCATTTACTCCAAAACCCAATTCCAGTGATTTTGGGATAATCAAGTCCTCCATTCTGCTAACTTTCTTTGTCTTCAGTTTTCTTAGTCTAGCTTAAATTTCATGGTCTGTTACTATATCATGCCCTTTCAACCCTGTTGTATTCTGCTTGATTAAAACCACCATTCTACCTATTTTGTGCCTTAACAGCCACATGAGGCTGTTTCACAGTAAATATTAATGATCACAAGTCCTTACTGCTATCTGTGCATTCCTTAGTCTCTTCATTTCCTCCACTCAAAACTTTAAAAAAATCACCTTTTCAGTTGATGTTGTTTGTTTTACTGAAACAAAACGCAGAAAAGAGATTTTTACCTCTCCTGCAAATCTGCAAACTTAAAGGAGGACAATATAAGCGAAATCAATTTTTAAGGGGCCAAAATATGATAGTAGGTCCTGGTTGTTCTCTGTGGGTCATGAAACAGGTGCTCTGAAAGGAACCTTTCTCAGTAACAGCTTTACTAGATTTGGGGAATGTCTGTTAAAATTTTTGCTTTCAGCTTACCCATCTATACAGAAATTAGGAAAGATGAAAATTATAGATAGAAAGGAAATTTTTGTCTGCTGACTTAGATACTACTGAAACACTCCTCCCCCCAACCTTTAGCCTGCTTCAGAATTGCCTGGGCATCACCCTAAAATTCTGATTTTCCAGGTCTTGAGTGGCTCCTGATAGTTTGTATTTCCAGTGAGTCCTTAAGTGGCCCTGATGGTGCTGATCCAGGTACCTGGAGAATTGTTTTGAAAGTCACTTCACTGGGGTTCATATTCATACAGTCTGATCTGTTCTGTCCTTTTCCTCATTCTCTCCCTCCCTTTTCCCTACTCTACTTGCCTCCCTCCACCTTCTCCCCCCCGTCCCCCACACTGTTCTTACTGACACATGATGGTATACTTTTTTAAAGGTTTTTTTTTTGTGTGGTTTATTCTATGAGTATGTTATCTCTGGGTGTTTATATTGTGGGTGAATTCTTGGTGTCATTTTTATTTTCTGTATGATATTATTGTTAGGCTTTATTTGCCATGTGTAAATTTTTGAAACAAAATTGGTGAAAGCTTTTGCCTCTTTATTGGGTTGTCTTTTATTTACAATGAAGTTGTAGGAATTTTTTTTTCTTTAATCTAGTTTTAAGTTTTTTAAAGTTCTTGCACATTTTGCAAACAGTTTTTATAGTTGGTGGCTTGCCTTTGTAAGTTATTTTGAAGAACAAACAGTTTAATTTTGATGAAGTCCATTTATCAGTGTTTTTCTAGTTTATAGTTCTTTTTGTGATCTTTGTGTATCTTTGTAACCTTTTACTATGGTTATACTTGAATGGTAAGTTACTTTTGATTCCAGTGTTTGTTCTTTGAGGGTGTTAAAGAGCCCATAAAGTTCCTGCTGATGAAGTTTCCCTATTTTACGGGTAAGAGAACTAAAGTTCATATGGATTACATGACTGTGTTTATGTTATAATGTATGACCATCTCAAGACCAAAAAACTTTAAATCCTCTCAAATTTTGGTTCACTACTTGTCTGAGTGTTCTTGTGTATGATTCTTTTGTTAAAATTGTATTGTATACTGCAATATATTACAATCAACTTCATTCATTTCTGATAATGAATATTCTCATTGAAAGTAGTATTAAAATTATTAAGTAGGCTTGCTGTCTGAAAGAATGATGATTTTCTCTTAAAATCGTAAGTGAAGACGTTGAATTTAACACTTTTTTGGTTTCTTCTTTTGATTCTTTCCAAAGGTTTGTAAACAGATTTGGCTAGGATTATTTGATGATAGATCTTCAGCAATTCCAGACTTCAGGGACCCACAGAAAGTGAAAGAATTTCTACAAGAAAAATATGAAAAAAAAAGATGGTGAGTGAGTAGTTTGTAGAGTAAGCTCCTTAAACCACTCTGATGCAGTGAAGGTAAGGAAGCCAGCCAGGTAGGAAAGAGATAGGTAAGTCTGTAGATTCACATTATCCTTTGGCTTTTTTGAGTTTGTTTTCCAAAAACCTTAATTTCTATTTTTATCTTAACCCATTCATGCATCTATGCCTAGGAGTAGGCTGTTCAATTACCAAGATTCCTACCCTTTCAAAAAGTTAAGGATTTTTCTAATCCTATTAGTCTCTCTAGACATTTTTAGTCCTTTAAAACCTTTCTTAAAGTCTATTTCTTCAGCAAGTGTTCAAGTAGTGTCTTCTGTATAGTAGGCATTGTGCCAGAGTTCAGTCCATAAGATTGCATCTTTCATTGTCTTTCCTTAAAACACAGTATCTTATGTCCCACCCAAGTGTCAGTTTACCCCTGGTTAAGAAGGGAGTTTTGGGGGCTGGGAATTTAGCTCAGCAGCATAAGTACATGCCTTGCAAGCGCGCAGTTGTAAGTTTGATCCCTGGTTTAAAAAAGACGGGGGGTGGAGTTTTTTTACTAACTAAACCTTGCAGATATTATATTTTAAAAAAGAATTCTATACAGATTTACATAAAGCTAGTATGTCCCTTACGGCAGAGCACAGACTAACCCATGGAGGTAGTGCTTAACTGCTGGGGACTTGTTATTTTTACCTCTTGGCACAATGTAAGTACATTTTGTAAAAATTTATTAACTATGAATTTCTTTTGTTTGTTTAATGCGACTGGTAATGGTGTGTTTTCTTTTTAGGAGTTTCAGAAGATTGAGGAGAGAGTCAAGGATAAAGGGAATAGATAGGAGGAAATAAAATGCTACTCAGTTCCTTGAAGAACATTTTAATCCAGGAAATGATCTACTCAGAAGTGTTTTGGTCCTGAGGGACTATTTGCTATAGTTTATGGGGGAGAGGCCTATACTTTCATTCAAGAAGCATATTAGCTCTGACTTCGAGACTCTGCCAAAGTTTTTATTCTTTTTGCTATTTAAAATGTACTAACCTTTCTAAAACAAGATTCATTAGGACTGTGTTGACCTGAACTAGATACACTGAATATAAGTATAGGTAGGTAGAAATAAACCAGAACAATCTTAGTTCAAGAAAGAAGAAATTACTAGAACATGAGTGATAATAAAAAATACAGTGGCAGGAAATTTTGAAGTTTTTCTTGGACTGAACTTGAAAAGGTTTTTTTAAAAAATTATTGTTTTGTTTCTTAATTCTCTAGGCCTTTGATCTTAAAGGCAAGATTGTTTACTTTGCACAGCTCTAACATAGTTTTTGGTTTTCTCAGCATTGTTACTTTGCTTAGAAAATCAATTTGGCTAGAACTTGGTTAGGGTCTTAGATGGGTTGTATAGCTAGGGTCTTAGATGGGTTAACTGTAGCTATGATGAGAAAAGTGGACATAAATAATAAGGGAAATATGAACATGTTAATGGTAGTAAAATTAAAACCATAAATCTCTACCTCTGTATTATAAAAGGAATAAATTATTCATTTAACCTATAATCCAAATAACTGAAAACCATAAATATTTAGTGTTTTTTTTTTTTTTTCTTTAAGAAACATGATAGTAAAAACAAGAACAAGCTTCAAGGAGTGAACTTACATATTTTTATCTTTTGCCTTTGCGCATATGTAACGCAGAATTAGCAATGACTTCTTTTTCTTTTTTTTTAAACATGGTATGAAATGCTATCCTGAAGCATTCTAAGGGAATTTAATAACCAGGTGTGGTGACTTACACTTATACTTCCAGCACTTGGAAAGGCTGAGGTAGGAGGATTGTCTGAGGTTTGAGGCCAGTCCAGGCCATGTAGTAAGTTCAAGGCCACCTTGAACTACGTAGCAAGACCTTATCTCAAAAAGAGGGGGAGAGTACTTCCTGTAAGAAAGTACACTTACAACTGTGCACCTGTGGATCTTCAGTGATGTTGAAATTGTTTGTTTGGCTAGCTGTCAGAATCACTTAGACATGCTTAGTCTCTTTAAATGGAGCCATCAGCTAATACCAGGTTTTATCTTGGATCATACTTGGCAGTGTACAGGAATTTATACCACCAGTGGAATGCCAAGTTATGAGAAAGCAAAATTTCTTGTATTCATTCTCATATTTGTCATTTATTGGGTGGGGAGTTGTTTTGCTTGTAGTTATTATGTGGTTTGGTTGTAGTTAACACTGTGTACAGTTTCAGTGTACCAAGAACCACAGTTGTTAATTGGTTAAACTTCACAGCATCTTTACCTCATTTTATAAAGAAATGGAAGCATAGGGATGTAATAATTTATTCAGGTTTCATCACCTTTGAATTATGCAACTGGGGTTTGAACTCTTGTCTCTGGAATAGTTACTCTTAACCTCTCTTTTCCTACTTTCCTCACCTGTTTGATAACGTGGGATGGGAGGAGGGTAGGAATAAAGTCAGAATTATAAAACTCAAGTAATCCTGCCTCTAGTATCAGCATTGCTGATATTCTTAACTTTCTCTTTCCTTCTTTCACTCCCTCCCATGATTCCTCTATATACATGACTGGGGTAGAACCTGTAAAGACCTGTGAAGCCATATGGCATCTTTCCATGTCAAAGCAGAGTAGCTGTGCAGTAGAATACAGATTTTATTTTGCTTAAGGCAGGATCTCAGAAGGTAGTCCGGTTTGACTCAAACTCATGACTACCCCCTACCCCTTTGCATGTGCTATCATGTCTGGTTCCAGTGTATATAGATTTTTGCATAATCCTTTTAAATCTTTCTCCTAGCAGATGTTTGATTTGCTTCCCAATTTTTAAAATTATACAGATTGCTATGGTAATATTCATGTGCATATACCTGTTACCTGTGTATACTTGCCCAATCCCTAGGGATTAAGTTTTGGGAAGTACTCTCATCTGGGGCACACCATACATTTCAGAGAGAGCAACAGAAAATTTGCACAGTTTACAGACAGATAAAAGATGATAATACCTTAATTTGCATTTTACTACATTATTAAATGTTCATATCTATGCTTTCTTTTATGAATTTCGTTCTTTTTAAAATGAAGTTATTGGGCCAGGGATTTAGCTCAGTTACAGAAGTACCTGCCTGGCAAGCATGAGGACATGAGTTCAATGCCCTGCACCCAAAATAAGTAAATAAATAAATAAATAAAATGAAGTTGTTGACCTTATTCTTGCGTTTATAATAGGCCTCTGTATTTTAGGCTATGAATCATAATATATTCATAATAAATGCTTCTCTTTCTCCAGATGTTATGATTAAGTCTTTGTTTGAATATGGCAATTAAATATAGTCTTAAGCTGTCAATTCTGAGTTTTCAAATAAGGTTGAAATAATTTTGCACAAAATTAGAATTGAGCTAACTTCTATTCTGATTTTTATGTGTTTTAGGTATGTGCCACCAGAACAAGCCAAGGTTGTGGCGTCAGTTCATGCATCTATTTCAGGGTCTTCTGCCAGTAGCACAAGCAGCACACCTGAGGTCAAACCACTAAAGTCTCTTTTAGGAGATTCTGCACCAGCACTGCACTTAAATAAGGGCACACCTAGTCAGGTGAGTAACCTTTAAATCTTTGTAGGAAATGTTTAGGGGAGATTGAGTGCTAGGGTTTGGTAATTCTTTACTAAGACAGGGACATAACCTTGAACAGCAGGGGCATTGTGTCCTAATGGTTTATAATATATTAAAAGAATGTTGGGTAAGTGGAGATAACAATGTATGTACAGTATTTTGTTCTTACGATTGCTTTGATTTCTCTGTAGCTTCATGAGAGTGTACAGGAAGCTTACTAACGCTGTGTCTATCATGTAGACTACAGTCAGTGAAACAGAAATCCGCGGTGACTTTCAGAACAGTGTAGCCTCTGAGGTACTTTAACAGGAAATAGTAATATTTTCCTATATGCCTGACAATGTGGCATATTTATTACTGAAACTTAGTGGCTTTGCATTTTATCTTACTCTGAAGTCTTTTTATAAGTTTGTAGCTAGCCTTTGCTCTACTTCATACAGTTGATGGAGCTATGAAGGATCTTTTTGTGTGGCATTACAACTTCTGTCCTGTACAAGAATGGGTCTAAAGAATAGCACTGTGGATTAAATCCTGCCCTTTTTGTAGTGCATTCTAGGGATCCTGAGTAATTTTTCCCCCCACAAGAGGTATGCATGAAAAAAATGAAGAAGAGTTAAGTCAGTACATATAATTACGTGTAGATGTGTTTAAAGCTTATGGATTAGAGAGCGTTCTATTTAAAGTTCAGTAGGTCTGACTGGAAAATCTTTATAGTTATGTTGTTTATAGTCCCCAGTTGTAGGACGCTCCCAAGGGCAGCAGCAGGAGAAGAAGCAGTTTGACCTTTTGAGTGATCTTGGCTCAGACATCTTTGCTGCTCCAACTCCTCAGTCAACAGCCACAGCCAATTTTGCTAACTTTGCACATTTCAACAGTCATGCAGGTATGTTTTCTCAATAGCTTTAGCCTGAGATGTGTATAAAGCAGCAAGAAACATTCATTCTTTATTAAATTAGGTATCAGTAAACATGTTTAATTGACAATTTATGGTTATCCTTAAATGTCAAAGTGTAATATATAACCATGTATCTGTGGCACTTACTAGTCACAGAAGGGATTGTATGTAGTATTAAGATGTTAACATATGACCTCTTAAGATAAGATGGGAAGGACTTTATATTTTTCTTTTACTGTGGAAAGTGGCAAATGTTCAAAAGAAATGGATAAGTATAACCTTTATGTACTACTATTCACTTGTGGCAAATCTTGTGTCATTTATCATTTCATTCATACTATTTTAGAGCAAAATTTTTTTAAAGAAAAAAATACAGAAAAAAGCAAAAGAAACAACAACAATAACAACAAAACCCCAAAACAATAGCTACATAGGATTTCAAAACAAGATGATAAAAATTTAACAGTGGTCATTATATTGCATATTGTTATTTTCAAGAGTTGCCCAGATTACCAGTTACAGGCAATGAAACAAGAAGTTTGCCCTTAAATATGACATCTGTGAAAAGGACTTTTTTAGGTTAACATCAATCACAGGATTATCACACTGTAAATAGTAGTAACAATTCATTAGTTGGTAGTGAAATTTTCATACCACTCCAGATTGTTTTGTTTATAAATCATGCATATTATATGTATGTTTGTACATACATACTAAGACACACACACACATGTACATTTTGAATTAGGTTTCAAATAAGATGCACACGTTGCAATTATAAACTATCTCTCTTAGGTCTCTCATTCTCTCTTTTTTTTGTTTTTTTTTTTTGGTACCAGGAATCAAACTTACAACCATGACACTTGCCAGGCAGACACTTTACGCCACTGAGCTGAATCCCCAGCTCTCTCAGGTCTCTTAATCTATAAATTTTTTATCTCTTTTCTCCTCTGTAATTTGATAAAGTGAATTATTTTTTCTGTAAGGCTTGTACTAGTTTGAATTTGTTGATTGCACTGCTCTGATTCTGTGTAACAAGATTCTTTTATAAAGTGATAATTGAATTAGAGATCTTATCAGTCACAGGTTTTATATGTACGGGAAGGTGCTAGGAGACTTCCTACTTAGGGTGTGAGGTACAGGATTTTGGACTGTCTCTCAACAGTGTTAATTTTGATGTTCAGTGCCTAAATCTGTTATGCAAAATAATTTAAAATCTCTCCATTATTTGTTTACATTGCATTATACTAGAAACATGTTAAAAGTATAAATGAAGTCTGTTTTGGAGGCCGGTAAGCATTGATATGTACATCGTAGAAAGTGTACTCATCTCTGTTTGCAAATGATTAAATATACCTCAAACCAAATGTAAGACACTAATACAGGAATTGATTTAGTAATTTTATAGTTTTATTTGATAATTTGAGCTTTAACTTTGAATTCTTTAACATGAAAGTGTAAGTTATTGGCTAAAACTGATTTCCATAACTTTAATTGTAGATAAAACTTTAAGAGTATATCTAAGATATGTATAATTTTATGAATATAGCAGAAACCTGCTGTTAGAGTTGATTTATTTGTATTTTATAATTTATTTTGCCTTGTGAGATTACATGGTATTACTTTTTCTTCCTATTTGATGACCTAGCTTATTGAATAGTCATGATATAAAGTATATCTCATACATATACACCCTAAAATGTATTATTTGGGGAGCTTGCCAGTTGTAGCAAAACTGCTCTCCAGCCAGTCACATTTCTTTCTAGCAAGCATTTGGGGTACTTTAATTCTAAATATTAATAAAAACTTTTTCTGAAGACTTGCTTCAGTCATGGTATAGTTTTTATGTGTTTGCTTTTGGAAGGGATACTAGGATGGTGGTTACCTTTTTGCTTTTTTGAAGAGATAATTTTAAAAGACAAACTTGGAGAGCCTCTTTGCTTTTTACCTTTAGGTAGGTAGATGGCTCTCCTGCTGACCAGACAGGAGCCCTAATTCTTGGTTACCACCTCCTAGATTTCAATGCTAGTTAAAAAATTAAGAGAACGAGTGTGAGAGTCAGCATTGAGTATGTTCTGGCTTAATCTCCACTTTTAGGCTTATTGAAATATAAGTTGAAATTACTGATAAGGTAACTACCAAACCCTAGTAAATTTTCAATTTACTTCATGTTCTCTATGCTTGTATGCAGTTTCTGGGTATTCACTTACCAAGGATTATTGTTGCACTCTTCTTTGTAGCCTGGTTAGCTAACCACTGATTAGACCCATTACAACAGCTTCATAGATTAATTTGTACTAGAAACCTTACTCATTCTCTTAATAACCCACTAAAAATGGTCTTTGAACAGTTTTAATAGTCTGTTTCTCGTATAAGGCAGAAGTAGTCGGTTACCTGAGTGGTAAGTAATAGTTTAATAGTCATGTAGATTATTTAAGAATACTGTAGGCCTTTTTAATTTTTTAAAATTGTTTGACTTGTCTTTCAGTTTAATTCTAGGAGAGTAAAGTGTAGTAGGTGCCTTTTGTAGGTTACTAAGTTACTCTGTTTTTCCTTTTAAATGTAGATATTTTGATATTGTTGCCTTAGAGTAATTTTAAGTGTAAAGCAATGTTAGTGTTCAACTTAAAATTTTTCTAGAATTTTTGTGAGCTCTTTCATTTGTAGTTCACAGTGTCATTGGTGACCGAGTTTTCATTCTGAAGTTCTTATAAAATAACATTATGTATGAATCCTTTAATATCAAATGATAATTGTTCAGATACACAGTCTAGTTAACATGGTGTTTTAGGGAAACTGAGGGTTTTTGCAGATAATTTAGTGGAAAGCTGGAAATTTTTACCTTTTGTTATGGACATTCTGGCTACACGTAGTGCATATGAATATGTATTGGTGGTGAGGTCATTATTGTGTTATAAAAAGTAATCTCAGCAACATATAAAGTTAGAAACATAATTGACCTGAAGAATTTAATAACTATTTTTCTTTATGATAACCATTTTATCACAGAACCTGTAAACTGTAAGTTTTGAAATCTCTGTGTCAGTTCCTTTGCAACCTATGTAACACAAATGAGTAATATAATGAGATGTGAAAAATGGTGCTCCTTCTGTACGAGTTGTTCTGATCTGCTGCCACATGGAGACAGGGTTGTAGAATTATTGAATATATTGATTATCTCAAAGAGGAGCAAGATACCTTGTTTGCTTATAAGGAAATTCCATCTTTTCGTATGTTGGGAATTGATGAAAAATGTTAAGGTTTGTAGGTGAAACAATGTGTGTATTTTAAGTGAACTTGCTAAGGATCTTTCAGATTGCATCCTGTAGTTTATCTTTTCGCATGAGTATTTGTTTTAATTGAAGAAAAAATTAAACTGTCGGCAAGTTTCCTGCTCATTAGGTTCACTAGGTGGATTCCTTAAATTCTAAAGTGAAGTGATTACATCATACTCTTAGAAACAAGATTATTTAAGAAACATCTTTATGACTTTGTCATCTTTCTTTAATTTGTATTTCTTTGTGCAGAGTTTGCTTGAATAATCAGGTAGTAATTTTTGTATTATTGAATTTAATAGTGTTTTAATTTGCAAAGTTGTGTTTTCCAAAGCTGGATTCCTCAGCATTTGAACTGATTTTTGAAAATTATAAGTGGATTTGGTACCTAGAGTAAAAATGGATTCAAGTACTACGAAGCCTTGTTGTGTCATATTGAATAGGTATTTGAGGGTGTATTTGGATAACACTTGGAAAATATAAGTATTATAAAAATGAGCTTGCCTAGTCAAAATAGTTTTCATGTTCTCCAACATACAACCACGATGTGCAAAAGCATAACTTGTTTTGCCTTTTGGAGTAATAACTCACTATATTTGATTTGATTGAGTAAAGGGGATGTACCAGGAAACCCACTATTTGAGAATCTCCTATGCTATGTTTTCTATATATTTACAGTTATATACTGTATGCATTACGTGTTTTGGTTTATACCTTATTTTATTTTCTAATTGAACTTTCTTAGCTTACAGTTTCAAAGTCCTTAAAGAATTTACTCCTATTCTCTCAGAAGTTATAGAATGGTAAGGGTGGATTTATAGGTAGAGGGTTAGGGTTAGTGGTAGTGAGAAAACTGGGAAGACTAGAGAAATTGAAGGATTGTTTTCATGCTCTTTAGCTACCTATATTAGGATGGAATTTTCTCTGTTTTTGTTTTGCAACAGGGTCTCACTGTGTAGTTCAGGCTAGCCATGAACTCACTGTGTAGCCCAAACTGGCCTTGAAGTCCTGGTGATCCTCCTGCCTCAGCTTGGGGTTACAAGCGTGCACCACCACATCTGGCTAGGATAGAATTGTGTGATTCTTAACTCAGGTTCCTTTTTATTAGACTACACTTGGTTATTGGTGTTTCCAGTCATACAAAATGGCAACAGTGTTTAAACTTTTTATATATATATTATTTAATCCGCTATACAAAATGGCAACAGTATTTAAACTTACTATATATATATAAAATGTTTAATCCTCTGTGTATATTTCTTTCCAAATACTTTTCAATAAATTCGTTTTTAAAAATTTTTGTTCCCTAAAAATACATTTTCAACCTATAAAGAAGTTGAATGTTTGTCACATTAAGCAAAAAAGAGTAACAAAAGATTTTAGAGTATGTAGAAAATACAAAATTTATGTTATGCAGTAAGCATGCTTTTTTTTTTTTTTTTTTTTGTCTTTTTCCTTTTTATCGGTACCGGGGTCCAACTCACAACTGCCTGCTTTCAAGGCAGGCGCTTATGCGCTGAGCTAAACCCCAAGCCCCTAGTAAGCATGCTTTTAATTTAGGCAGTTTTTATAATGTTTGAGAGGAGGGAAATGTTTGAAAATAAGGTTTTCAAGTGAAGCATGAGACTTGGTATACAGAGTGGCAGCCTTCATTTCAAAGGCAGGGGGCAGGGTCAGGTACCGGTAAAGGGGCAGGGTCTGCTTGAGATGAATCCTCCCTCTCACTATTGTCCCCATTCAGATAAGTACATAGTGGTAATTGTATAAAATGCTTTTTAAGTTTTCCTGATTTTCTTCTTAAAATAGGGTTTAACATATTGATTTGTTGGGTGAAATTTTTGTTCAGTAGTTTTTTTAGTTACATATTCATTGCAAAAGTGTTACAAACTCAGGCAAACATGAAAGAAAATGATAGTGATTTGAAATCCTATTAGGTAAAAAATGAAGATTTTGTTATGTATAAAATATGTTGAGTGTAAGAAAAACTGGCAGGTGAAAGAATAACTAGAATTTTTTTCTTTTTTTTTTTTTTGTTTTTTTGAGACAGGGTCTCATTATGTGTAGTTCAGGGTGGCCTTGGGCTCACTTTGTAGCCCATGTTGGTCTCGAACTTGCAGCAATCCTCCTGCCTCAGCCTTCCTGAGTGCTAGGATTACAGGAGTGTACCACTACGGCCAGTTATTTTTAACTTATTTTCCTTGACATAAAATTTTTGCATGGGGACTGGGGATTTAGCTCAGCTGCATAAGTGCTTGCCTTGCCTGGCAAGTGTGAGGTTGTGAGTTTGATCCTTGGTAATCGGGAAAAAAATTTTTTTTTGCATGGGACTAGATGTTTTCTATGGTTTCTAGTGACCATGTTTTATTCTGTCATGTGATATTTCATATGAAATATATTTAAATGATCCGTTATTGGTGGTCATTTGAGTTTTTAACCTTTCTACTCTTATATAAAAAACTGTAGGCTTTTTTTTTAACTAGGTAGGTTTTTAGATGTGACCATTCTTACTTGCACAGTTATTTCTTTACAGATGCATACTAAACTAGAATACCTGTAGAGGATTTACTACATTGACAGCATCTAACTTTTCCCCACCCTTTGTACATGCTTTTTTGTTCTTTCCATGAGCATCCTTTTCTCCCATGTCAAATGTTTTTTGCATCATATCCTCTCAAAAACTCTAACCCAGCATTTATTTTGCCTTTCAGTAAAAATGTTTTATTTTCTTTTCAAACTTAAAATTTAAGAAAGTCTGAAATTTTGCACTTAGGAATTTTGTACCAGTTGCCAAATATATCTTGATCTTTTTTTTCCCTGAATGTTATAATTGCTTCTGACTTTCATTATTTCTTAAGTTTTTAGCGTGATTTTAAAATGACATATTCTAATGACTATCTGAAATTTGATGATCAGAAGCTGATACATTGTTTTTCTTTTTTGTGTGTCCGTATTTGTTAACTTTTTAAACAATGTATTTTAGATATTTAGGTTACTCTTAAGATTCACATAATGAAGTATGAGTTTAAATCAATGAATTTTCTAGAATGTATCCACAAGATTGTTTATTGTGCTGTGCATCATGTATTCATTGCTCTCAGTTCAAGCTCCTTATGTTAATATACTTTCCAGCATTTAGAATACTTTCATAGTACTTATGTTAGTACTTTCTATTACTATTCCTTAAGCCATTAAAGGTTTGTATGCAGATTTATCATTTCACAAATTATGTTCAGGGAATTTTCTGGGTAGCGTTTGTATTTGGAGTCTGATTTCTATGTGAACTCTTTAAAATGAATTGTGATACATTGACACTTTTCATAAAAGTTTTAAATTCATTTGTCATGTATTTTCATTTATGGTTTTCATATTCATTAACATCTGTTGTTCCTTACCATTTACAGCTCAGAATTCTGCAAATGCAGATTTTGCAAACTTTGATGCATTTGGACAGTCTAGTGGTTCGAGTAATTTTGGAGGTTTCCCCACAGCAAGTCACTCTCCTTTTCAACCCCAAACTACAGGTAGAACTTCTCCAGCATTCTGCTTAAGTGTTTGTTTTAAAAAACAAAACTGTAGATGTAGTTTTGAAAAATTAAATTTAAATTCTGTAATTACCTGACTTTAAAGTAGTTCTGTCTTTCAAAGCTCTGGGGAAACCTGAAAAATATATTTTTTTTTCTGTGTTTATTTGTTTTTCTGAACTGTTTGGTATGTTGTCTAATTTACAAAATCCATTCTTCTCCTTTTCCTGTACATGAATCTTCTTAAATCTTATATGCATAAAGATACTTAAAGTACTAAATATATTTGAGATTCATGGAATATACTGATTTAAGGCTGTTACATCTTCGAATTAGGGAAAATATAATTAGCCACTTCCATATAACTAAAATTGAAGTAATTTTAAGGGCCATAGCTTGAAAAAATTCTGAATACTTAATCAAGAGTAGGTTATTAATGATTAATCAATTATGGAAAGTTTTCTGTGCAGGAATTGGTCTTTATACTTAGAATACTCTCATAAACTATACATACAGTTTTTGGAAACTCTTGGAACCCTTGTTTAGATCATCAGCTGATTGCTTTTTTCCCCCCTAACTTTTAACTCTGTGTATGTGTTGTCTCAAAGCCTTTGCTTTCAATTTTTTTTCTTTTAACTTCATCATTTATGTAATTTCTGACTGTCCAGCATTTAGAATACTTTCATCTAGCTGCAGTTTTGGTGAATTTACTTCAGCTTTTCCTCTCCAGGCTACCCACAGTAAGTTCTTTTATCATGTAGGCATCTTGTACTGCTTTGAATGTTTTGTGTTGTATATTATAGATTTTAATTGAAACAGTTTAATTGCTGAAAGAGTTTTATGCGTATGTTTGATTTAGAATGTTGAAAGGACTGACTGATGAAAGTGTTCGTGTTTTTAGGTAGAGGAGCGTTTTCCCTCTTTTTAAAATACCCCTAAGTGTATTTTGCTGTCACCTTTACATATAGTGTATTTTTAAAAAATTTATGTACACACAGTTTTGATTGCTGAAAGTATGGTTTAGGAGTAAAGAACTAGTGTATGAAACATGAAGTATGAAATGTGTTGATGTTAGTCTTTTGTTAGTGTTTTAGGCGAGTCTAGTTGTGCTTTAGAAGATAGGATATGTACCATCGTGTCTATTAAGTAAATTTTCCTTTGTTAAGTCAAAAATTGCTATAATACATTTTATTTTTATGTCTTGAACTATATGGCAAGGCGTGATTTTACTCTAAACATAATTGGTGCACATTAAAATACTGTGTAGAATTAAGTAACAGCTTTTCAAGTGAAATAAGTCTACAGTGCAGGGACCATCTTTTAAGAAATTCTCGATTGAAATAATACATTTTAATCATTGTTAATCCCAGTCCCTGGGATTTGTTTAAACCATGTGTCCATGTAGCTTTAAATGCTTGAATCCTGTAAGTAAGAGTTGGCATCTTGTTTATAGTGTCTTGGGGAACTAGTGAAGAACATAGTATATAGGATTGTTTTATGGATAGCTGAAGTTCAGCCAGGTATCATGGAGCTAGCCTCCTTCTGCCCTGTTGTACTCTTTATCCCAAGCTAAATGGTATTTTATACTGGCTTAGTTTGACAAATTATAAAAAGTCATCTTAAGATGATTAAAATTGAGTGCCATTTACCAGTCATCGATTTTTAAGAAATACAGATTATAGAATCATATATAAATGTATACTCTATAGTGCTTATGGACAGTTAGTTTAGGAAGAAGTGATCAGTAGTTTTCCAAGGGGTATTGGGAAAAGTTCATGTATTTCAAGTGCTCTGTTTATTCTGTTACAGGTGGAAGTGCTGGATCAGTAAATGCTAATTTTGCTCATTTTGATAACTTCCCCAAATCCTCCAGTGCTGATTTTGGAGCATTCAATACTTCCCAGAGTCATCAGACAGCATCAGCTGTTAGTAAAGTTTCAACAAACAAACCTGGATTACAGACAACAGACAAATATGCAGCACTTGCTAATTTAGACAATATCTTCAGTGCTGGGCAAGGTATCAAGCTTTACACAAAACAAATTCAAATTTATATATTAAGCAATTTGCTATCTTTATTAACATCTGAGAATGTTATACTTTCCTCAGTTGTGTAGAAATTGTGTCTGCATTTTTAGTAAAATAGTTACTTGTTACTTTTAGACCTCAATCAACTATAAAACTAAAGGCACAGAAATTAATCTAAACATTTTTTTTCCCTTTTTCTTTGAGACAGAGTCTTGCTTTGTCAGGCTGGTCTTGAATTTACTGTGTAATTCCAAGCTGGTTTTGAATTCATGGCAATCCTTTTCCCTCAGCCTCCCTGGCTAGGATTATAGGCAGGTGGCCACCATACCTGGCCAAAAGTACTTTTAAAAGAAAATTGAAAAAAAAAATTTTTTTTCCTAGAGAGCATTTTTTATTCTGTGGCATAACGTGATAGATTCCATTAAAGAGCTTAATGGAAAGATTATTTGGTGATTTCTGTCATACATTCAGTTTGAACTGTTTTCTATTAGTGTATTGGTATTTAAATTCATTATCTTTGTACTGTAGTTTTATACCAAGTTTTGGACTTAAGGTCAGGTTCTAGTAGTGTTAGACTGATTCTGCATTCTGATCTCTGAGCCTGTCTTTGTTATCTCCAAAATGAGAATGATAACAGCACTGAATTCATGGAACTGTGTTTTGTGTATTGTTGCCTGTGTGATACTGTGGCAGTACCTGGGATGTACAAAAAGTGCTTAGGAAGTGTTTTGTATTAAAATTGTCTCTTATCTTTTTAATGAAATAGCCCTAGAAAAATGATAAATACTAATAGGTTGTTGACATTTGGTTCACCATTTTATGAGTTTGTTTACTTCAGTGAAATCCACTTTTCTTGGATTTAAGAATTTCTTCTTTATTTATAGTCTAGACATTATCCAAAACAGACTGTTAGATTTTGTTACAGAAATAGCAATTGTGTTTTCATTACAGTGATTTATATGGGAAATAATCTTGTCCAGTATTGTTAAGTCCAGGGTCTTATCTATTTAATTTTTTAGCTCCCAAACAGTTTTGAGTGTGTTTGTTGCAAATGTGGTGTAATTTTTTAAAATTAATTAATTAACTATTTTTTGGTTTGTTTTCAGGTGGTGATCAAGGGAGTAGTTTTGGGGCCACAGGTAAAGTTCCTGTCGGTTCTGTGGTTTCAGTTCCCAGTCAGTCAAGTGCATCTTCAGATAAGTATGCAGCCCTGGCCGAATTAGACAGCGTGTTCAGCTCTGCAGCCACCTCTAATAATGCATACACGTCCACTAGTAATGCTAGCAGGTACTTGGTCTTGTCATTCCTGCTTTGTGTTAATCTTTTAAATTTTTTTTTAAATTCTGAATAACAGCGTAAATAACTGTTTGGGGGTAGCTTAAAAAGAATTGAATAGTTTTTAAATCTGAGAAAATTGAGTTTCATTTGCTAGTAAAAATATAATTCTTGAGTAATTGTCCTAATTTTATTCTTCTCTATATCACAAATTTTTTGTTGCTGTGTTCCTTGAATGCTAAAATTTGTTTAAAAGAATGTGTGTGTGTGTGTGTGTGTGTGTGTGTGTGTGTGTGTGTCTGTATGTGTAAAACTCGGCAGGTAATCCATTTAATAGTTAGATTATGTATTTTTAAGGTACAGTTTCAGGCATGGAGACTAAAGTAGTGTGTTGTAGTCTTAGTTTTTAGAACTGTTTGTGCCAAAACTCATCACTAATCCCATCTTTCTTAAGTGCCTTACTTACGTATAAACAGACACACTTTTTACTATATTCATACATAAAAGATACAAAAGAATTTTTTGTTCTGCTGTGTATCTTTGTAAGGCCACTTGTTCTTTATATGTTTCAGTCAGAATACCACAACATATTGATCTTCTATTAGATCAGCCATTAAAGGAATTTGCAAAAATAAAAAATAGTGCTAGTCTTCTCATTAAGTTCTTTTTGTTTTCAAATCCAGCGTTTTCACAGTACTGATGAGATAAATGTTGTGTAATGGGTACATTTAAATCTGAAGAATATTTTTTAAAAATTTGTTAATTTCTATGTGATACAAATTATAAATATAGCACAAATAAAATTAATTGTTATTGGGTCATTGATTTTTCAGAATATAAACATATCTTGAGACTTGCAATCTGAGAACTGGTGTAGTATATGATATGTTTAATGTTTCCATATTTTGTAACTATCTGATAGGCAGATTACTTTTTAATGAGGGCTTTTAAAATTGTGTTTTCAGCAGTGTTTTTGGAACAGTGCCGGTGGGTGCTTCGGCACAGACTCAGCCTGCTGCTTCAAGTGTGCCTGCTCCATTTGGAGGTATGTGCTTCTGCTCCACGCATATATCGTCATCTGTCTCTATGGGTATTGTTTTCTATAGGGAAGAAGATAAATATATATATATGGGATAGCATTTTCTTTAAAAGACTAATGGATGTCTTTAAAATGGATGTCTTTTCTTTAAAAGACTAATGGATGCCTTTTGATAATAAACTATTGCACTAATTTGTTATCCAAAAGATTATGTTTTCTGATTTCATAAATACTGTGAAATATTTTAAATTTTGAATACAAAATACATTAGGATTTTATGATGTATTTTCTCATTCTTTAAAGCTACACCTTCCACAAATCCATTTGTTGCTGCTGCTGGTCCTTCTGTGGCTTCTTCTACAAATCCATTTCAGACTAATGCCAGAGGAGCAACAGGTAAGAAAAAAAGACAGATTTTGGAATATTAAATGGGGAGAGTTTTTTTTATCAGAAAGGAATCATGTGAACACCACCAGAAAAATCAAATCACTTTTTTACTGGAATGAATGAGAAATGGTTAGAAGAGTTTGCCCATAAAGGTAAACACAAGCTGAAAATTCATAAAGTTTTGGAATTTAACAGTTGAAGGAGACCTAAGAGCAATTATCCTGGGTCCTTTCTTCTGGTCAGAGCTTTTATTTTTCAAGTACAAAATCCCAAACATGGAGATGATTACTCCTTGAACTCACATAGCTAATTTGTAGCAAACGAAAAGCTAGAACACAGACATTTTGACTTATTTTGTAATATGGTTCTGGAATTCCTAGCTGTAAGTCAGCCTTTTTCCTCCCTGGAACTTTTGTCTCTAGCATGGCCTTGACCTCTAGACTTTTCTCCTATTTTAGTCTCCCAAGTGGTGGAATTACAGGTGTGTGCCCCACTGCCTGGCTTTTAATTCTTAATAGAAGAATACTATGAGTGTTTTTTCTCCATAAGGCTGCCCCAGATAATGATTCTAATTAATTCTTATTCTAGTGCATCTCTTCAGTGTGTGCACATATTTTAGATTGTGGGTCCCTGATACAGTTTTGGTATAATGCTTCAGTATTTTCTTTGATGAATTTTTTTCCCATTAATTCACACCCCCCAACTCCATTTTCCTGTTTGATTCATATTGTGCCAGTCACATCTCATTCTGCACTTTTTAAGAGTTTTATTCCATTGTGCTGAACACCAGAGCTCTTTGCTATTATCTTGGGATGTCAGTAAGTGTGGGTGGCTTGGATAGCCATTAAATCTAGACCTTCTTTTACTCTTCTCTTTCTTTCAACCCTTTTTCTCCTCCACCCTCTTATTTGTTTTTTGAGTCAGGGTCTTGCTATAGTCCAGGCTGGTCTTGAAATTACTGTGTAGCCCAGGCTGGCCTTGAACTTGTGGCAGGCCTCCTGCCTCAGCTTCCCAAATTTACAGGTGTGTGCCGCCTGTTCCAGTACTTTAGAACCAAAGCTTTAACCCCATTGATAACAATTGTTGATAGGAAATCCTGAGAAGGGTAAATATTTATAACATAAATTAGATCATTAAGAATTAGTAGTTACTTAATGCAGGACACAACAATTTAAAAAAAAGAATTAGTAATTACTATATTAGTAAATCTTTTTGTCATTGGCAAGACGAGAAGTTTGAATACTGTTTGTCTTTGATATAAATGTCTTTACTCACAGTTTGTTATTATCTAACATAACTAAGTATTTGAATTGCATATCAAATTTAATTTTTCAAGTATTGATTTAATTCAAGTACTGTTACCTAATTAGTGAATGTTCTAAATTTTGTGCTTTTGCTTGTTGATTGATAATTAAGGTATACCTAACAATTGACTTAAATTTCTATTTGTATTTTCTTTATGAGTGTGGTGTATGCAGTATTTCTGTTGTACGGTTTATTAACCGCGAATGAATTTGTAAAATGTCTCATGACATGATAGACTTTGTATGTTCTCTGATCTTCCCAATTGTCATCAAATAATTGTCTCAGTTACTATGTGAAAGTTACAGGATCTGCAGCTTAAAAAAGTAAATGACTATTTTAAGTACATTCAGCCAAACTTGTGTTCAAGTTCTGACCTAGTATTTACTTGGCAGGTGATACTAAGAAAACCTTTTGAATTTTGTTAATCAGTGGGGTATGGATGATGCAGAATGTCCTAACATTTGTTGTTAAAGTCATTTGTGACATATTGCTGAAGAACTGTTCACATTCCAACCCTATTTAACAACCGGAATTCCATTATACCTTGACTGAGTTGTATTAAGTTCTCTGAGCACTACTGCTGTCCTCAGCTGTAGAATGTGACCAGTATTCTCTACCTGGCAGGACTGGTTTGAAATCAAATGGTGCATAACACCCTGTGTGTTTTTGTGTTATAGTATGCACTTGGAAAAAAATCGTGCTTGGTATTTTATTCTCATGACTGTACCTGAGTTGGTTCTATCATTAGAATTAAGGATCTTTTTGCTTATTTTATTTACAGTATGAAAGATTTATAAGTTAAGATTCTGGGCTGGGGATTTAGCTCAGCGGCATAAGCACCTGCCTTGCAAGTGCACAGTCATGAGTTTGATCCCCGGTACCAATTTAAAAAAAAAAAAAAAAAAAAAAAACCTATGTCAAAAAAGTTAAGATTCTGCATAGGATATAAAATTACAAAATGAAATTAATTTTAATATCAGCAAAGTTATATTAGAAAGGTAAATTTGTGCCCACACATTTATTTGTGGGTAAACTATTTTTAACATTATAAGCCAGTTTGAATTTATCATATCGATCACTTTTATTAGGTTATTATTGAATTGACTAAAACAAACATTAGTTGCATATGTTTCTGTTGAAGCTGACAGGTAAATAGTACTTTGACAAATAGTTAGGAATTTCCAGTGCTTTATACTAGAAAAATTAATATTCTTTAGGAATTATTTCTTGTTATCTTTAAATGGATTAGTATTGTATTACTATATTTTGAGGTAGCTTTGGCAAGAAGCCCTTGCATCATAATTCTCTGTGAAATTTGAAAAATTCTGTTTGTACATTTCTTAAAATACACATTTTGATTTTTGTTTTCTTAAATTTACAAAATGTTAGGAATTTAAATTTCTTTTAACATATAGGAACTTTGTTTAGGAGAATAACATACAGCTTAAGAGATTTTTAATTTTAGGATTCAATGATGCTTTATTTTTCCAGTCACTGAATCTTAATTAATAAATTTATTTTTCAATAATTAGGAAATTTTTCTTCCAGATTGTTTTCCTTTCACCAATGAGTGAATTCTATTTCCCTCTTATTTTGAAAAATGAGGAAATGATTTTAAGAGATTTTTTTTGCAAGAAGTCAAGAAAGTAACTTATAGAACTTTACATCTTATTTTTTTAATCTAGTAGATAAAAACTCATTTGCAAAGATGGTAATGAATTTGCTTAGAGTTTAAAGTTAAGTAATAACTAACCTTATGTTAATACTCAGGATGCTTCTAAACTAATGCTGTTTTCCATTGCAGCTTGATTTTGTATTCATGAAACATATCAACATTATGTATTATTCCTTGTTTGTATCTAAATATTCAATATGCCTACTTCTCCATCTTAGTAGACTCTGGAAATGAAGATTAATGCAAAAACAAAAAAAACAAAAAAAACCCAAAAAAACCAAAAAAGAATGACAGTTGAAGAAAGGGGGAAAACCTAAGAGGAAATTTACATCGGACTGTATAGCTCATATTTTTATTTATAGGAAAATAAGGCACTTATATTCAGAAGATTCAAAAAATTCCTTTCAACTCAATAATAAAATTGCTATGCAAATTAAAAAGTAAGCAAAAGATTTGAATAGATATTTGTCCAAGAAGGTGTAGAAATGATTAGTATGCATGAAAAAAGATGTATATCATCAGTCAGTAAGGGAATGTAAATCAGAACCACTGTAATATCACTTTATACCTATTAGGTTGATTGTAGTATACAGATAATAATAAGCATTAATGAGAAAATACAGTGATTAAAAACCTCACATATTGCTTGTGGAATGTAAAGTGATAAAATGTTTTCAAAAAACATATTGACCATTCATTGAAAGGCTTAAAGTTATCTTGCGTTTCTAGTATTAGAAATATACCCAAGAAGAATAGAAACATAAATCTGCCCAAAAATTCATACACAACTGTTTATGTCTTCATGATTCATAGTAGCCAGAAGTGGAAGTAACCCCTTATATCACTAAGTGATGAAACAAGATGTTGAATGAATTGTACAGTGGAATATTTTTTGATTAAAAAGTAATGAAATTCTTACATGTGCTATCCATTATTCATGAACCTTCCAGAAACCTTATTCTAAGTAAACTAACCTAATTCCAAAAGACTCCATATTTGTGCTTCTGTTTGTATGCAGTGCCACAGATAGGCAGAAGTCTATGGAGACAACATTGATTAGTGGTTGTCAGGGGTTGGTAGTAATTGTGGGCACTATGGGGACAAACAGCTGCCAGGTGTGATGGAGTTTCTTTAAGAAAGGATGAAGGAAACCCAAAATTAGATTGTGGTACTACAACTCTGATTATACAAGAAACCTTGAATTGTATACTTCTAATAGACAAATTCGGTTCTCCAATTTGAGACTCCAGAACATTTGGCCATCTAAAGGAGGGGGAAGTGTGTGTGGTGTTTTTGCACCAAAGTTAATATAGTGGATAATATTGGCCATCAAGTACTGTTACTTGAGATGCTCCTGTACATATTCTATGTAGAACACTATGCCTGTTCTTGAATACATACAGAAAATGCTGAGATAACCACAGTGAACTAGTATGAGTAAGTGTAGGATTTTTCAAAGCCTTTGGAGTGTTCTGAGAGGAGATACATGTAAAATGACCAAACTTGATTATCACAGAACCATTAGTTTTTTGTTGTTGTTGAATTCAGTATACAGTATGAAAAAGTGTTTATAAATTATCAAGAAAAAATTTTTAAAAATATTTGCACATTTAATCTTCATAGCAACTTTGATGAAGTGTGAGATCTTATTATTTTGTCCTCTCACCCCTCCCTCTTTCCCTTGGCAAGTGAGGAAGGTCAGGCTTATAACTTAAATACCAACATGCAGCTAGAAAATGCCTGAACCAAGACTCAGAAGTGCCTCACCTCTTAATTACTGTTTTCTCAGATTTATGCTCATCTTAAAAGTATTCTCATTGAAAATATAAAGAAACATATTTTAGAATCCACCCATTCCACATTTTTCAACAGAAAGTTCAAGTATGTAACTGTAGTACTTGTCTTTTACTAATTGTGTATACTTACATGTAAGTTCTGTCCTTAAACGTGCCAGGTAAGATGTGTTTTAGTTGCAGTGCTCTTTTTTCTCCTCTTTTATTCTTACATTTTAAGCTGAATATTTCTAGTTACCAAGTGGTGAATAAAACTGTCTGGCATTGTTCAGGTGCTGTCTCCAAGACGTGAATTTGTGGATACTAAACGATATTTTGGAGAACAGTGCATGATGCCTTCAAAGCCTTTTTGATGGATACAATTGTGTCTTCACATGAAAAGTACTTTTTTTAAAAAAATGGATTTCACCAGTGTTCTTTATTTGGTATTATTTTAAACTCCACTTTAAGCAGTAGAAATAATGTCATGAGTATGGTCGAAATAAAAAGTCTCATTTTGTGAATGTGTTTTTATATTTTTATGCTATCTACCTGGCATAAATCTAATTTTAAAATTCTTTAATGAAGCTTTTTATTTTAATAATAGTTGTCCGTGCCTTAATTGATATTGGTCTCTTTATGGCTTTCCATAAGGCCTTTCTGGAGCAATGCATTCTCAAGTGTTTCCTCACGCTCATTTTGGTAGGTGGCCACAACTAACATCTAGATTTGTGTAGCAATTTGTCTACTTGCTTGTGGAAGCTTCTGCTACTTTTCTGGATCCTTGCATGTTTAATTAAGTTTTCCCATGTTTTAAAATGGAGTGGGCATGGATGTGTGGCATCAAGATTACATTGTATTCAGTTACATGAAAATCTTTGTAGTGATACTGTTTTAATGCTAAAAAGCATTATTGCTTACCTCCATGGTCACAATACAATGTTAATGGCTATTTTGATTCTTTTCCTTCAGTTTGAATTCATGGTACTTAAAGTGATATACCAAACCATTTTACCACATTATTCCATGGAGTTTGATTTTGCTTAAATGTATCCAAGTTTTGCTTTTTAGTGCTTTTTTAAACGGTGATTTGTCAGTTATGTCAGTGCATTAATGTCTGTTATGAAACCCTCCCTTTTCCCTTGCAATGTGCTTATTATTCTTTCACTTGCTTCCCAGTAGCCTGTCTTTCTTTTTTTCTTGCAGTGATGGACAAGTAATTTTTAAAAGTTTGATAGTCCAGTTAGAGTGAGTCAAATCGCACTGTGGTGACAGGATAATGAGGATCACTTTGGGCAGTGTCTATAACTTGTTTTTCAGTTACGTAGAAATTGAACATGATTTTATGAAAGATTTTTAGTATGACCACTTTGTATCACAAATCAGTGATCTAGTTACTAAACATTTTAACATCAGGAAATCGGGTGAATTTTTTTTTTTGGTAAAACTAACACCATTGTATTATGTAATTACTAGAGGTATTTTTAAAGCAATCTCATTTCACTGAATCCTTTCCTAGAACATACAAGTAGAAGGTGCTGTATTAAATATTTATCAGTGGTTACAGTGTTTTGCTACTATATGTGTTTCTATAATTGGAATGGTTTTATAAATGAGTAAATGGGGTTGTTTTGTCTTTAGTTTTTGACTGTAGTTACTAAACTGCATAGTTTTGAGCGGTCTGCTTCTGACTGTGCCCCAACAATCTTATTTTTAGTCATCCGTTTTGCAGAGTTTAAAAATTTTTTCCAGGAATGCTCAAATATGAGCATTATGGCAAACACTTTAGGAAATAAAAAAAAGTATAGCGAAACCTAAAAGCAAAAATACATACTTGTTTATATATGAATTATATGATGAGAGACTTTCAAAAGCAACTACTGTTCAGACTTTCTATAATTACTTTGAGAAATTTTCTTGGACTTTCATATGACAGCTTTAGTAATTTAATTTCACTTTGGTTATTGAGTTTCAAAACAAAATTTCTTGGTTTATGGAGAGGTTTATAATGCTTAAACTCATTACTTAATAACTGTTGAAATTTGTGATTTCAAATGCTTTTAATGTAATCTTAACATTTTTCAAGGTAAGTGATACTTACTCTACAATGTGAAGTATTAGACTGATGTGCCCTTCTTTCTCCTTCAGCGGCAACCTTTGGCACAGCATCTATGAGCATGCCTGCGGGGTTTGGGACCCCTGCGCCCTACAGTCTTCCCACCAGCTTTAGTGGCAGTTTCCAGCAGCCTGCCTTCCCAGCCCAAGCAACTTTCCCTCAACAGACAGCTTTTTCTCAGCAGCCCAATGGTAAGGCCTAACATTTGTCTAGCTGCAGGTCCCCTTGAGGTACTTTTACATACCATAATGTTAAGTGTTTGAGACAATGACTTACTGGCTTACGTAAGGATGCCTTTACAGAGTTATCTTCTGTGTGTTTACTACACAAAAATTGAAGCTATTAGTGATTTTGGTCATAGAAAACTTACTCTTCTGTGTTTTTCAGAATCACCAATGTCTTTCTCATTAATTCATTATACATGCTCTGCTTTGCTCCTTGATTTGGAAAGGAAACTTTATAGACTCTTACACTATTGGTTTTTGTTTTCTGTAACAAAAATACTCCCTACGTGTTTTTTGTATAAGGATTTGTGTCTTAAAGACAGATAAATCTTAAATATAGATTACATTTTAGTTGAGTTTCTTGTTTTTAGCAGAGGTGTGAAGATTTTATTCCCACCATTTTTTAAACCCATTTCTCATTTGCTGAAGTTTGAAATCCATAGATTTGAAGATTGTGGAGTTACAAATGTATGTTTTCTTTTTTACCATGTGATTGGATAAAAATTTGGAAATAATGATTCATAGTAGAACCATAAATGATAAAATAATTCCAGAAAATTTTGTGGTATTCTCATTGAAACCATTGTGTTGTCCATGCAACCCCTCACAAATAATCACAAACCTGTCAGTTCACTAAATCCTTTGAATGCCTGTAATTTACACAGCAGTGGGGACTGGGGATTTAGCTCAGTGGCACAAGCTCCTGTCTGGCAAGTGTGAAGTTGTGAAGTTGAGAACCAAAAAGCAAAAAAACAAAGCAATACAAAACAAAAAAATACCCCACGGACACAGCAGGGGCAAATTGGCATTGACCTCTCAACAGATCTCCGTGAAGCTCTTTTAAAACATAACCTCAGAAGCTTGTCACTGACCTCTGAAAGGGCATGAGACCTAACAACTTCTTAACCTTGATAGTTTGTTCTTACTGCTCTGGCTAGAATTTCTCAGAAACATAGGGACTGTAAGCATGAGATTATATCTTGAAGGTAGAGATTATAATCCATGTTTGTTTTAACCAGGTGCAGGTTTTGCAGCATTTGGACAAACAAAGTCAGTGGTGACCCCTTTTGGTCAAGTTGCAGCTGCTGGAGTATCTAGTAATCCTTTTATGGTAAGTGGAATTCAATTTTAAGCACTTTGTGAGTTTCCACATTTCATTTTCCAATTGGAGAAAACAGGATATGACTGTGCCTACTATTTGGTGTTCTGATAGAACGCCTGAAGATTATACGAATTGAGATATCCTTATCTGAGCTGTACGAATAATTAGTTGCAGATCTACACACTGACAGTATGACAAAACGTACATATTTTGTCTCAAAAAACCATTGTTGGTAGAGGCCATGGATTAGTAAAACAATATGAGAAGGAGTCTTAGAGTCCTTTTTGGACTCGTAGAATCACAAGTTATTCTTTTAAAAGGCCAAGTCTGTAGAATCTAGTAGAACAGTTATATTAGTAGAACAGTTATATGAAATTATGGCTGATAACAGCATAGTCCCTGACACATGAAGTTTCTATCGAGAGTGATGAATGTTGTCAGTACTAATAAAATAATCCTTAAGTAAAATTGAGATTAAGTACAGTTTAATGGTTTCTTATTTTGCAGACACACCACCTTGATTTGTTTATTTTGTCTTGTATTTTTCTGTAGACTGGTGCACCAACAGGACAATTTCCAACAGGAAGCTCATCAACCAATCCTTTCTTATAGCCTTATGTAGACACTTTACTGGAACGAACTTTTATGTGGTCACATTACATCGCTCCGCCTCTTGCACTGTTGTCTTGTTTCACTGATCTTAGCTTTAAACACAAGAGAAATCTTTAAAAGCCTGCACTGTGTATTAAACACCAGGTAATAAGTGCGAAACAGAGGGCTGTGGTAACAACTTTAACCGGTGAATTGGCAGAGAAAGATAGCGGTATCATGTATATTAAAAATTGGCTAATATTAAGTTATTGCAGATACCACATTCATTATGCTGCAGTACTGTACATATTTTTCTTAGAAATTAGCTATTTGTGCATATCAGTATTTGTAACTTTAACACATTGTTATGTGAAAAATGTTACTGGGGAGATAGATCAGCCACTTTTAAGGTGCTGTCATATATCTTGGAATGAATGAACTAAAATCATTTTAACCATTACTACTGGAAAGTTACAAAGACAAAATTGGAAGATTTTATTCGTTCTTGAATTTTTCCTTTCTTAAGAGCTCTTCTATTTATACATGCCTAAATTCTTTTAAAATGTAGAGGGATACCTGTCTGCGTAATAAAGCTGATCATGTTTTGGTACAGTTTGCAGGTGGAAAAAATAAATATTAGAAAATATGCTATTGTTTTGTGTTCTTGCTGCAATGCCTTTACCAAAGTGGCCTTAAATATGAGTAGTGAATTGAGAACATCTTGAATTCTTAAAGACTTCTAGTGACTAACTTTTTATAAAAAGGCCATGTAGAAAATTTATTAAAACTACTAGTACTGCTATGTTCAGGAATATGTCAGTGGTAAAAGCATTTAAATGTAGCTTGTCAGATTCACCATAATCTAATTTTCTTTGCGACTTGTTAATTTTGTGAAATTTGTATATATGAAGAATTTGCATGTATGTGTATTTACAAATTTTTTAAAAGATCTTGAATTGTCAGACTGCAAAAGGCCTATTTTAACTATTGATTTTTTAAATTTTGTCATTGAATGTATTAGAAGCAGACATGCATTAACTGTGACATGATTGCACCTGTTTTTTCCTCCCTCCCCCACTTCTCTGGACAAACTGAAATTATCTATAGGACATTTGTTCATGTTTGTCTTTTGGGGGAAAAACTGGAACCCAGTGTTACCCTGAATTTATGGAATACTTTGTTTAAAAAAGGCAGTGATACTAAGTTTAGTTATATCTTTTTGTTAATATTCAAATGAACTTGATTATTTATATATAGTAAAGCCTCATTCATCCAGAGATACCCGGCAATCTCATCAAAACAGAACACAACTAAGAAACTTGGAATTTTTTAGAAACATGCCTCTGAGCAGTCATATGTTGTGAAGTCTATATGTTGGAGCACATACATTTGTTTTTATGTAAAATTTAAATAATTTTGATTTCTTAGCCCTATAGCAATTAGTAGTGGAGAATTGATGACTTGGAAAGGAGACTGAAAGACTGTGAAGAGCATACACCGTCCACAATCATCTTTAGTACAGGGACAGCCAGCCCAGCTTACAGGACATCATTGTACTACATCATCTTCTGACAATGGTCTGTTACTATATCTGTGCCACCAAGAAAGGATGAAATTAAATATACAAATATGTAATACCTATATGAAAAGTTTTATCTTAAAAAGGATTCAAAATCTGGAAAAGCATTGGTATTAAAAGAAGTGAATATCAATTTCCTCAAATAGTTGTTCATGTTGAATGCCTTTTGCAGTAATGACTATATGAGTTGTCATAGTGTTTTAAAAATCTCTGATACTCGGAACTTGCAATCCAGTGCATATCTGACTGCACGTGTGGCTTATTTGAACTGTTGTGGTAAGCACAGGGACCCTTTTCTGAGCAATAGTATTCTTAGAATTAAACAGTTGTTGCACAGGTCTGTGTGTGCATTCGTACAGTCTTAAAATGTTTCTCCTTTAGGCTGAGGTCTCCCTCAACCTGTTCTTCATGGAAGGAAAACTTAAGAAATGTCTTTGCGTTTCTGTTTTAGCTTGTATCAAGTCCAAATAAATTCACATGTATAAAAGTTATAACTGGAGGCCATTACCCAAATAACTTACTAGGTTTTCCATCTAAGAAGTAAATTAAACAAATGTTATCAAAATAATTATAAAGTCTATTTTTTTCCTGGGTAAATCTTGAAGTCTGTAATTAATTGGGAACTTTTATTGGCTAATTCCTATTTTTAAAAAATCAAGTGTTTCAGAAGAGACTCAGTTTTAAAGTAGATTTTCTTGTCATCTTTATTGTTCAACTTCTATCTTTATATTCAGATTTGCTTTTAGTTTTATATAGACCTTCAGAATTGTGTTGAATACTTAAAAAATAATTCTGGAATGGGACAAGGCTGAAAACCTTCAAATTTCCTGGCTTACTGGTTGATTCAGATCTTTCCTGTTATGTCTTTGTCCAAGAAAGAAATTTGTCTTTTAGGATGGTAAGAACTTTAAAGGCATAGGTTTTTGGTTTTTTGAAATAGAAAATTTTTTTCTCCATTTTTGTGAAATTAAAGATTAGGTTACTGCTTTCTTCCTTAAAAAAAGCAAATTTGAAAAAGTTTACTCATTTTTACCTGTCAGGTGTCTTGCTTTCTGCACACCTCTCCTTTGTCCAGAGCCTGTAAACTGGTAAAAGTAAGGGGACAGCTTGGCTGCTGCTTCACACCACAGCAGCATTTCTGAAGCATTTTGGTTTTAGAACCATAAAACTCTTAAAAATTACTGAAGATCTCCAAATAGCTTTTATTTATAAAATTTATTACATCTTTCAAAATTTATTAAAATGAAGAGATAATTTTAAATGTTTATTCATTTTAAGTGTAACAGTATCCTATTGCTTTTTATTAAAGATAACATTTTTTTATGTAAAGTAACTTTTCCAAAACTATGAAAAATAGGTGCATTGTTCTACATTTTGCATTTCCTTTTAATTTCTGGCTTAATAGAAACTGAAGTTTTCATCCTGTTTTTTCATTCCCATTTCATTGTTTATACCCTGTAGCATAGACTCTAGAAGACTATACTGTGTACTTATGAAATCGTGTGCAAAAGGCATATAACATCTCATATTGTGAAACTAGTTTGACCTTGTGTAGGCAGCTGTTTAGAGGATCTTGAGAACTCAAAGATTTCCAGACCACACTTTGAGAAATTTAAATTTGTATGTTTTCTAAAAAGTGTTTCTTTGTGGGATAAACATTCTACTTCCTGCACTAAGGGATTATTTTCTTTTTAGGGGTTTGATTGGTTGGTAAGAAAAACTGAAATTGCAGTTGAAATTACAAATTTCTTAGCATTGCTTTAATTATTTCAGTATAATAATAGAAATGATATAGAGTGTGGTTTGCAAGGCTTTTCTGTGTATCCAGTACTTGCTAGCTGCTTTTTTTATATTCTGTCATATAATCCTTAAAATTGATCCCAGACATAGAATAGTTAAACTAGTTACAGTTTAGCTCTTGGGAATAAATATTTTATTGTTGGACTAAAATGAGATCACATTTATGTGTGAGTAGTTTTTTTAATCTTTTGAAATTTCAAGTTTCTGTATTTTATATACTTAAAAATGCACTCTCATTTAACATTCATGATTTGATGAAAATTATGAAATTCAGCTCTTCTCTGGTTTTTAACTATACTTTAGAAAGAAGGTAAATAGTGGAGCATGTTTTAGACTGAAGACACATCCACAGTATCATGGTGACTCCCATTTTGTGGTATGTTGCACCTTTATCGACGTAGTTTGTGTCTTCAGTTTTAAAATTTGCTTTTTTTAAAAAAAGATACTAGATTTGAATTAAATTAACCTATTTATTGTATTTATTTGTGCTCAATTTTTTTCTTTGTATATTTTAAAGCAGTGTTTTTAATTAAACTTTTTTTAATGTGGTTGTGCTTGAACAGAAGACTGTGACCATGGTGTGGGCTAGTGTTTGCTGGTAATGTTTAACAATCATCTCTTAAAAAAGAAAAAGGACATTGTTTTGTAGCGTTTGCTTAGAGTTGGTCTACAAATACTGTCACTGTGGCTCCTTTGTCCTACAATCTGATGTCCTGAAATGTACTTTAAAAAAAAAAATACACCTGTGGATCACACTTTTGCAAGCCAGCTCGAGTACAGCATTGATGTCTGTTTCCACAGTTTCTCCTTTAAATTTATCAGTCCTTTAATGATTGTATCCAGTATTTGGAGAGCATTTTGTTTTGTATTATTTTGTTGTTAGTATTAATTCATTCAGCAAGAATTTGGATATAAAGTTCATTTCTAAAATTGTGTCAGGTTCTGGGAAGAGCCTAAGTATGTGTAGAGGTTATCCTTTGTGCCTCCTTCTCTGGATATGGTGTGCAGTTTGTATTTGGCCAGCACAGTGTTTCCAAAGTTGGCTTCTGACTCCACTACCTGGAGCGTGTCCTCAAAATGGCCCCTAGCTGATCCTTAGCCATTTTCTTACCCTCAAACGCTCATATGCTTTTCAGGTCCTTTGAGTTGGCTTTTCCAGTGGTACCTTTTATTCTGACTTTGGGTAGTTGTATGAAGCGCAAATTCATTTCCGTTTTTTCCAGTGAAGACTTCTGCCAAGAATGTATACCAGAGAGCCTGTATCCATCTGCTTATTTTACGCCAGCAATGAGAATTGATTGTATGTTTAAATCTATTTTTGAAATCTGTGCTTGACTACAGAGGGCTTTAGAGTTAATTCAAATAGAATGGTGTGTTTTAGGCTTTTGTTAAAAAAGAAAGACTGATTCTGGATAGAATATTTCAGTTGGTGACTAAAATACCCATTAAGTTTTAAAAATTGATTCTGTGAAATCTTGAAGTTATTTTCCAAGTTACTGTGTAAGCAATAAGAGTCTGATTCAAATTCTGAATTCTCAGCATTTTCTTCCCATCAACACAGGACTTAATATTACTCCTAAAAATGCTCCCTTAGAGATAAACATGTTACCTACTTTGTATACTTCACATAAAAATTAACCCAAAACTACCAGGAAAATATATAGAATGTTCTAAAATACATGCCTGTGATTTTTTAAAAACTATGCAGTGTACACAGGGTATAAGATTTATTTAAAAAAACCTTCACTTTGTGACTTTATTCCCACATTCCAGAAGGATATAATTTCTTGTGCTCTAGAGTAGTCTCTCAGAAATATTATCATTTGTTTCATATCTATACGTGCCTCTTTTGTAGCATGGTTAGTTTTATTCAAAGCAGTTGTCTTTTTATGTTGCCACATCCAGCTTTAATTCATTGTTTTAACAACTTCAGAGTTCTCCTATACGGATGCCCCTTTGGAAGAATATTTGCTTGTAGACTTTCTTTTTTTTTAAAACCTAAAAACCTTACTTCTATGAGAATTTTCTTATGCTTATGTGATTACTCTTGATTCTGACTGGAAATTTTGAATGAAATGATCATTGTGAGGTTTACTAGCTGTTTTTAAGTATAACGTCGTTTCCATTTAAGAATTCTTCCATATGAGAAAAAAAAAAGTCCTTCAAATTGAGTGTCAAAAGATACTTGAAAAATTCTAGTTTATAATTCTAGCAAGTTCACTAATGTATAAGGCCTCATTTATTTTGAAGCTTTATTTTATGGTCAC